GGTGATTTGGTGATGGGAAACCCGTGGGGATTACAATTGAGATGGAAAAAAAAATGTGCAAAATGATGTAAAAATAAACTTTTTAATAAAATAAATCACATATTATATAATCTACTTAAGTCATGTTCAGAATGGGCAAATCCACAGAGGTAAACAGTAGATTGACAAAGGCCTGGGAAGGTGAGTATTGGGAGTGATTGCTTGGGTATGGAATATGGGGCTGTTTGGGGGGAGTGTAATAAAATGTTATAAAATTAAGTTATTATTATATTTGCACAATTTTGTGAATGTAAAAAAAAATCACTGAATTGAATACTTTACATGGCATTTTATACCTTGATAGAAGTATTATTTTTTTAAAAAACCTATAGAAGTACTGTAGGAATTCAAGAAGAAATAGAATGACAGAACAGTGGTGGCTAGAATTGTTGCAGATGTTTTCATTGAGTAGGACTTGCACTAAAACTAAAAGATGAATATAGGCTCAAATAGATGTAGGAGACAGGTATCTAGGAAGGATGAATTTCATGAAAGGTTTGGCACTGGTGGGACAGTTGTATAATAGTACAGTAAATAAGAAGAGTATGAAGGGTGTAGGAAACAAGATTACAAAGTAAGGTTGTTTCTTAGGCTAACAAGTTAGGCGAACAGCCTAAATTTTATCTAGTAGATGACAAGAAATTACAGAAAGGATTTTTTCCAATGCTTTGTCAAGTTTCAGACAACACAGAAACACAGGGTTGAAACTTTTTTCATTGCATTTCCTTATGGTTTAACACAAATCTGAGATATAACAAAGTGGTATTTATTAAGTTATAATATACTCCAAATCTCCTAACAATAAGAAATAAAGGACAGCTAGTTACAGGAATATTTTGAGCTGGGAAAAACATGATAAAACTGGATTTGTAAAGATTAATATGATAGATTTACAAAACAATTTGCAGATATGAAAACCTTTTGAAAGATTACTGCAATAGCCACATTTGAACTAATGAGAGTCTCAACTAAGAAAGTAGAGAAAACTAGAAAGAGGAAGGTACATAAGTAAGATGCTAAAACCAGTCAATATTTACTCTATTTACCGTAAGTTTCCAACAAAAGTTAACTGATAATCCAGAAAGCGACAGAAGCAGCTGCCAAATTACTGAGCTTGCCACTGTTACTTTGCAGACCTTGGCCAACAGGTCAACATCGTAGCCAGGCATGTGAGAACTGCTCACTCTCCAAATAGCACGAACTGTAACTACTGCAGTAGGTAGGCTGAACTGAAGGGATTCAGACAGGACAACTGTTTTTGACTAGTTTTCATAGGTAAAGCCTTAGCGTTTTAAATGACTCACGTGTATAAACATTCAAGCTCCTAATTATCTTCCTGAACAAAAGCATAATCTCTTACAGACTATTTTTTACCAAAATTTGTCCAATGATTATCATGTGCAGATACTAGACCAAGTATTTTACAAATATTACCTCATTTAATCCTTATAAACACCTTTTAAGGTAACACCTTCATGATCTCCAATTTATAGATGAATAACTGTAGCATAGAGAAATTAGGAGATTTTTCTATGAGAACATAGTTAAATGGAGGAGCTAGAATTCAAACCTAGACAGTGTGACTCCTGAATCTATGCTCTTAACCCTGTGTCTCTCATATGATCTTTACTTCATAGCATTATTGTAGAAATACTTTGCTATTCCTTTGTGCTGTGATGTAACAATGTGTTATTAAC